CCAAAAGCTATTATATAATTAGGATTTTGAGATATCAATATATGTGTGTACATACACATGGTGTACAAATAGCAATCTTCTTTAAAATATTAGTTTATAAAATTTATTAATAAATTTATTAGTATAATAATTTTCAATAGTATACTACAGGTAGTACATCAACTTTTGCAAAAATTACAAGTTAATAAAATTTTTTTTTAGAATAATTTTATTAATAATAATATTAAAATAAAAATTTTCTGTAATATTATAGCAATTATTAGATTTTTCTATGTAAAAATTTTTTTAAAAATTATTTTTTTTGATTTTTTAAAGCCTTTAATAAATGTACTACCAGTAGTACAAAGGTGTACATCCAATCCATTAACAAATAAATGCCACGAAATCCAGGTTTAGTTTACCTTCATTATGATGACCTTGGTATAGTTCCTCTATTTAAACAACCAAGAGTTAAATGCAAATATTGTCCTCATACTTGCAATAAAGCACTTAACAAATGCAAATTACATTTAAAAAATTGTCCTAAAATTGATAATAAAACTTACCAATCCTATTTTGGTTATTCAAAAATAACATCTTCACAAGTTGCTTCTTATTTATTAATAAATACTTCAAAAAAAACTCTACAAAATAGAAATATTAAGAATTTTTTTGATAATATTACAACAAGTAAACAAGACAATCTTGAATTCAGATTTGCAGAAGCTTTCTTTCAATGTGGTCTTTCTTTTTCATTTTGTGAACTAGCTCCAATTCAAGCCTGGATTAAAAAATTAAAACCTTTTTTAAAATATTTCCAAGAAAAAAAATAGCTAATCAATTATTAGAAGATATTTATAATGAGACTAAATTAAAAGTAGATAAAAGTATTGAAAATGTTGAATTTTTAACTTTGATTTGTAATACTGTAGATAGTAAATTTTAAATAATAAATATTAACCATTTATTTAGTTAAATTAAATTAAAATTTTTAATTTAATTTTATAAGTATATAAAATTAAATAAAACCTTTAATCAAATTTAACTAAAAGCTAAATAATTATAATTTAATATTTAGATATCTATAATATTATAAATTTAAAAATATAATTAAAATCATTAATTTTTAGGTCAAGTATTTCTTCTGAACATTAGACAAATTTTATCTTTGCAACTTCAAAACCAGTATTTATCTTTGCAAACCTACAGAAGAAGTATGTCAAAATGCTAATAATATTGCTAAAGATATAGAAGATATTATTGAAACTTGATAATGCTTCTGTTATGAAGAAATCTTGAAAAATTTTAAGTAAATCATTTCCAAATATTATTTATATGGGGTGTTTGGCACATAATCTAAATCTTATTATTCAAGATATTATAAAATTAAGTTGGGCTAATTCTATTTTTAAAAAAACAAAAGCTATTGTTAAGTTTTTAAAAATCATAATATTCTAACAGCAATTTTTAAACGTCATCAGCAATCACAAGAATCAAAAGTTTCTTTTAAATTACTAGCAAAAACTAGACAGGTTTCTTTTTTTATTTGTATGGAATCAGTTAAAGTTAACAATATTGCAATTAGTCTTACCATTACAGAATTAATTGCAAATTAAGATAATATAAGTAGAATTGTTGAAAAAATAGGTAATAGTAAAATTTATTGGAATAATCTTTCAAAATTAATTGAAATTTTGAAAGAAATAATAATTGGAATTAGTATATTTGAAAGTGATAATCTTCAATTATCTTATTTTTATGAATGGTATCATAATTATTTGAAATCAATTCAAAATAGTAAGTATTATTTAATTTTATTAATTATAAATATAAAACTAAACCTAAAACTAAAATTTAAAATTATTAAAATTTATTTATACTTTTATATTTTAATTTTGGCTAATATTAGAGATATTATATAGAATAGATAGGCAATATAAAAAATAAACTCTGCTGATAATTAGAGTTTGCAAAGTTTGTCTATCTATTCTATAGAATATTTAATTTTAGTTTTAATTATTATAATAATTTATTAATTAATTAATTTGTTAAATATTATAGAAGATATTAAAAATATATTAAAAGCTAGATAGGTTAAAATAAATCACCCAGTTATAGAAGTTGCAAATTTTTTCAATCCTAGAGTAGCTGGAAATGGATTATCAAATAACTAAATGACAACTATTTCTAACTTTGTTTCTAAATATTATTTATGAAATTCATTAATTATTTGGCAACAAATTATTCAATATAAAACTAAAAATGGAGTATTTAATAATCAATTAGCTTGGAAATCTGTAAATCAAATTGATCTAATAATGTGGTAGAAAGGTAATTTTCAAGAATCTGCGCCTGAATTAGCAAAATTAGCATGTAAAATATCATCTATTCCAATTTCTTCAGCCACAGCAGAGAGAAATTAGTCTAATTTTTTATTTATTTATAATAAAAAAAAGACAAAGATTAACTAAACCAAAAGTTTTTAAATTAGTTTACATATATAGCAATTATAGATTGCAATTACCACATATTACTCAAAAACTTTATAAAAATAAAAATATTGAAACAACAAATATATTAGATATACTTGAATCAGATAATCAAGAAAATAATAGTTTAGGTAATAGTTTTTATAATAGTCTCGATTATAATTTTGATGATGAATCAAGTAATAGTTCTGATGATGAATCAAATGATGAATTAGATAATGAGTTAAATAATGAAATAGATATTAAATTGGATAATAAGTCAGATAATGAATCAAATGATGAATTAAATAATGAATTAGAAGATGAATTAAATAATGAACTAGATAGTGATGAGTTAAATAATGAATTGCAACCTGATAATTATTTAGACGATGATTATTATAATAATAGTAAGTAATTTTAAAATAATATAACAATTTTGATTATTAAATATCACGGATTATTGTGAAATCAGATCATCGTGAAATTTGGGGGTCTTGATTTGAAAACATAAGCCCTACCAAAATCTACCTATACTCTTTTATTAATAATTCTAACCCTAAACTGTAAAAAAAAGCTTACAAAAAAGGCCCAAAAAAATTTTAAAAATCATACATAAAATAAATCTAAATTTTACGATAATCCGATTTCATGATAATCTGTGATATTAAATAATAATTTAAATAATAATTTAAATAATAATTAAATATTAATTTAGAATATCATAAAAATGAGGTTGACAATTTAAAAGAAAGAAGTTTTGATTTATCAATAGACGATATTTCAGAAAATGATGATTATTTAGAAGATTATTTTGCAAAAAAAAAAAAATAATAATTAAAATTAACTAAAATTATTAAATATTTTATTTTAAAAATTATAATAGATTATTAAAAACAATATCAGTAGCTAAAATAAAAATAAAAAAAAAACAAAAAATTAAAAATTATTTTAAAAAAAAACTTAAAATATAAAAATTAAAAAAAATCAAAGTAAAAAAATATTAAAAAATTAAAATATTAAAAAAAAAAAAAATACTGTTAAACCTCTTCAAATTGATATATAAATAGATAATATTTGTATTAGCAAAGTTATTGGATTTAAAAACATTATAAACTATTCAATTCGGTAGATTAACAATATTGGCAAAATCAGTTTTGAGGGATTTAACAGTAATTATAATATAAAAATATCAAGATTATGAAGGTTTAAATAGTTAAAATTATTAAAATATTAAGTTTTTTTTATATATCTTCTTTATTAAATTTGTATTTATGATTTAATATATAAGATTAGCAACTATGAAATTTACAATCGAATAATTGGTAAAAGTTATCTATGTAGGCAAAATCTGATTAAGGATAAATATGTAGTATCTTTATTTAGAAATATTATCGGTAATAAAGATAAAAATTAAAAAAATTTTTTATCATGTGGTATCATGCGCATTTTATATATCATTCGCATTAATGCGCATTTTACCCATCTCTAGTCACACCATAAAGAATAGCATATATTTGACTGATATATGTGTGTGTTCCACATCATTACACTGATTCTGAATTGGCAAGTGTCATTTCACGATTTTCACTGATCATGAAATGGCCCAGGTCAATTCGTAATGCTAATTATGAGACCACATCAATATAATAAATTATTGGGTATTATATTATTTACTAGTAGCTAGGGACGTCCAAATGCCTGTGCTTAAGGTAATTCGATATATTATAAATTGGAATAGATTGGCTGCGCGACTAAAACTCAGCAGATCGACAAAATACTGGAACAGAATGGAACAGAATTAATAAATCTTGCTAATAATCTAGTAATCCACATGCTAAATAAAATTGCCCAGACTCTAATTTTGCTACAGTGTAGTTAGTTAGTTATTATTATTGATTAATGACGGCCAACTCTGATGAATACCAACCTAAACTTTGGCTGATTTTCTGAATTTTGGTTGTTCGACTAATCTATCTGTAAATTGTATGATCATACCGTATTGTAATTTTTGCTAAAAATATAATGCAGAACAATAATTTTATATTGTGATAAAAAAAAACGGTTCAGAAATCATTTGAGCACTACCATAAGAAAATGAGACTTCAGACTTTCAAACCACTCATTTATTATTTATAAAATTCAGCTCGTGAAAATCTAATCAGATATAGATCATACGTAATACATGTTATAGATGTTAATATTGTATTATCAGGTTTTTAAATTATAAAATCGTAAGATTTACTCCTCTCATTTATAATAGTTCATTAATCGGAATAACAACTTATTATTTATTTAATTTTTATTTAATAATATAGCACACTATTCCATACTTAAATTATAATTTAAAAATTTTCTAGATTACAAGAAAACATCTATGCTATGACAAAATGCTTGTTTCTTGTGTAATATTTTACGATAGGATTTTGAAATCTATTTTGGGCTGTATTGATCTCTAAATCTAAAAGATGTGGGATAATCAAAATTGTAATTACAGTATGGAACAAAAATAGTATGGTAAATGGTGTAAAATACCAATTTAAAAAACTATACATACCATACTAATCACTGATCACTAGCCAATCTCATGGGATTATTATCATTTATGCCCTATAACATATGAATTTGATCAACCACACCATCACCATAATTAGCCATTCTTTTTTAAGAGTTTCGAAAAGCATTGCACGCATAGACTAGTTTGGAAGAACCGGTCTGAAGTACCGGAGACAAGCATTTATTAACCTGCGAGTGCAGTTATGATTTAAGCATAGTTGACACTGAAACGGATAAACTCCCGGAAATAGCAACCAAAATTGCACCGGAAATCACCGTAAGCAGTCACGTTTGAGATGTACAGCATTGGCCGGTGGTTTCCCGCCTGCATAATGCAGGCCGGCCGTCAGTGTAAAATTTGCAAATAACCGAACTTAGAAAATTATTATGAAAATGTCAGGTTCCAAAGAGTGTGGTGATTCCTGACATTTTCTCTATATGTGCGACGTTGTCGTCACGTCGTCAATTAACCTCCTTGTTTTTTTGTTTTTTTTTTAGATCCCTTCTTACCGCTTCCTTCACTTCCTTTTTTTTTTTTTTTTTTTTTTTTTATATACCTTTACCCTTCTTTCTTTCCCATCTCTTTTTTTTTTTTTAACTAGCGATCGGACTCCAAAGAATTAAAATATATACGATCGCTTAGTTAGAATAAGCCTTCGTCAAGATTGCCGCCACTGTAGATGGGTGAGTTCTAATATATCTATGAAAAGCTTCAGATGACCATCTTCCGATCTTTTGGATTAAGGTTAGCTGAACGCCCCGCACAACTAATTCTGTAGTTCTACTGGCCCGGAAACTGTGCCCAGCTACATCGGCACCCGGCAAGAGATATTTAAGGTAATTTATAAACCAGCGCTTCGAGGCCATATTGCCATCCGATTTGACAAACAAAGCATTGTACCCTGGTGCGTATGCTGGGTCGGTTCTTCGAATGATGTATGCCTTGAGTCCTTGGATTGGGCATAATTCGTCGTTTGTCAAATGGATAATTAGAGTTGGACGTTCATTTATCTTGTGGACTTTGGTTCTTGGTAATTGGATAGTGGCAAAAGTGTTTCCGCCTGCCCTGTCAAACCATAATGCTTTTTTCATTGGGATCTTTGCTGTGTTCTGTTGTGAGCAAGGAAGAAGCTCACCCAAACGGGCCAAACCATAAAATGTGACCAGGGACACCACCCAAAATAATAGATCATCAGAATTGGCGATGTTTATACTTTCCTGTATGTGGCGTAAGTGCTCTCTCGTTATGTGCTCCTTCTGTTTTGTTGGTGCAAAAGTGTGGTTACTCTCTATCGTTCTCAATAATTGCTTTACTAAAGGGTCATAGCGCGTGTCCTTCCATTCCATCTGATTCATCGTGTGATGGTAATTGAGAGCGGACAAGTATGATGTCACTGTTTGCGGTGAAATCTTTAAATGTAGATGCTTGATGTATTTTATTAGATTTGCCTTTGATACTGGCCATATTGGCCCATCTTTGTTGGTCCATTTATACATGACTGCTAACTGTTGAAACCGCTTTATTATTGCTTTATACGTTTTATGCGATATGGGTTCTATACCCAAAATCTCTGCTGCTTGTTTGTCTAGAGCCATATTGTGTACTGTAGTTCTGCCTGTTGGATCGGGCCTTACTTTCTGTTCCTCTGGCGTGTAGGCTTCGGCCTTTTGTTCTATTGAATCAAAGAAGGGATAATGCATATCAAGTTATTAAATTTGCTGGGAACTATAGGATGAAGATAACGGGCATGCGGGTACTTCGCCACATATTCCCTATGACTATTGCGTGATAATAGATCCGCCTCAATATTGTTTTTTCCTTCTATATATTCTAGTTTCACTGAAAAATTTCCCCGAATTTGAGCCATGTACATTTCCCAATTATTTAGGACCCTGCGTAGAACACCTCCACGTTAGACTGATTATCAGTCCACATTATCACCCGCTTTTGTGTCAGCACTGGGGAAAAAGTAAGAATTGCTACAAGGCTAGTAAGAAGCTCACGCATTTGTATGCTGTATGTCGTTAAGTTGGTATTTCTTGCCCAATTAAATGTGGTGAAATAAGTGCTGTACGTCGCTCCGCCCCCCATATTCGACGCGTCTGTAAACAAGTTTAATACTCCAGGTTGGAGCCAGACCCTATCTTCCATGAAATATACTCCTGACCATCCGAGCAGAACATTTAACCACCATGTTATATCTGCTTTCATGTTGCTCGTAACCTTTAAGTGTAGTTTCAGGTTCTTGGTACCCTCTAAAGCTTTAATAAACCATTGTACAAACGGTCTACCCTGGGGAACTACCTGACAGATCCACATCATTGAACCGATAAAAGACTGCAATTCTCTTTTAAAGCACCACTTTTTCCCCTTCCACTCCGTCAATATGTTGATAATTTTGTTTTTCTTTACTTCTGGAATTGATGCTGATAGGTTAATAGTATTAATTTGGATCCCTAGGAATGTCAGTTCGGTACACGGGCCCTCTAACTTCGACTGTTTGTACAGGATGTTTAGAATCTTTAATATGCGGAGGAACTGATTTAGTTCTTGCTCTGCATTGTTCCGAGAAATAATCAGAAAGTCGTCTACGTAGTGAATAACCGATTGTATTCCGAACAGCGATTCACGTGATCATGTTGGCGAATCGACAAAATATGCCACCCGAAGCCCTATTTCCAAATGCAAGTGCCTTGTCGAAATAAATATTGCTCTCGTGCCATAAGTCCTGTAGCACCTGATCGACTGGATGTACCGGCAAAATGCGATATGCATCTTGTATGTCGATCTTGGAAAGTAAACATCCACGCCCGTATTGCATTATCCACCCGATTGCATGGTTTAAATTTTCATATTTAGTC